CAAATCAACATCATATTTCGGCCAATCCGTTAACGACATATTTTGCTACTGACAAATAGTAGCACGCCACGTTGAAATTCTAGAATGCTCCATCATGCTCTGATCGGCTAGGACTCTTCGGCTCTTTTTGAGCCTCTAGGGGCTCCGTTGAAGTTCTCCGAAAGCCGACTTAACAATAAGTTATGTTTGAAACTGATCCAATCAACTTCGAGTTAAACACTCCACAAATTGCAACTTCAAGTCTGGAACACAAACCAGTTGTTCATTATCGAACAGAATTAAACTTTACGATTAGTTATAGATGAGGATCGCTTCCAATTTATAAACAGTGGAGAAAACTGCTACGTAAAGTGTCTTATTTTTTCAAATCGACTCCATCCAATAATTTTTCATTCACGAAGTACAGGCTTCTCTGATTTCGGTTTTCAGTCACACTTTATGTGAAAGCCAGTAATATAAACCAGCTCACCAAGTAGGTGGAAAAAAGTTCGAACAAGGGATTAATTTATTATTTATTTGAACACATAAATATCGGTACAAGGAGGCACCAGATACATATACGCCACACAATAACAATGAAAATGGGAAGAGATAAAGGATTTAAGGTGCGTATAAAAAGAAAAAAACAATAACAACCACAAATTAGTGTACGGTAGTGAAATAATAATGGGAGAAACAGAAAGGTACAGCCAGAAGGAATCTTTTAGTTAGAGAAGTTACGGCTACTTTTTATGAAGAAAGTAAAAGAAGATTACAGCACGATCGCCACTGGCTTCTATTCTGAGCCATATCTGATAACGTCTCTAGCCACTGTGTAGCACCATCTCTCGCACCCCAAACAGGGAGTCATGAAGAACCAATAGAAGCCAGTCCTGTGCAGCTTTCTTTCATACCACGACACAATGTCATACACTAACCACCTCCCCACGTTTTCCAACTAATCCCAGAGTCGGCAAATAATGCACGACGTGGAATTCTCTGGGACGACATTCGTAGAACATGTCCAAGCCACCAAAGTCGGTGTTTCAAGATGGTGACACCAATTGAATTATCGTCTCTGTGCCCGAACACACGATGCCGAACCTCTGCATCACTAACATGGTGCTGCCAATGGATGTCAACAATCCTTCGGACAGCGATGATCGAACACAGAGAGTGTTCTAACATCCTCAACTCGGATAGGCCAGTTTTCACAAGCATAGAGCAGAACTGCTCTCACCGACGCGTTGTAGATCCGACCCTTTACAGCCAGACTAACATCACGAAGGCGCCAAAGGTGGCCCAGATTGGCATAAGCCGCTCTGGCTTTCACTATACATGCATTGATCTCATCACTCACACCACCACCAGCACTTATGCAGCTACCCAGATACAGAAACCTCTCGACTAAGTCTATCTGCTCACCATCCAGGGTGAGTACAGGATTAGAATCCTGCCAGTCTTGTAGAAGTACTTTGCACCTAGAAGGTGCGAAGTACATACCATACCTTAGGACACTAACTGCTAAAGGATTAAGTGTAGATTGCATAGCTTAGGCATTATCGCACAGTAAGACAATGTCATCCGCATACTCAAGGTTGAAAAGTCTTTCTCCAGGTAACACATCCACACCGCCAGTACTTACATCCATCAGAGCTGTTTCCAGAATGTCATCGATGGCAAAGTTGAAGAGGAATGGTGAGATTGGGCAACCCTGCCTAACCCCACTGCTCGAATGGAACAATGGAGAAAGGTGTCGTATGCCCTCATCCCTGAGAACAGTCCTGTCCAACGATGTTCTAACATTTTGGCGGGGGGTGAAGATATGATCAATACATCCTCGACCAGAACGAAAACCAGCCTGCTCCTCACGAATCAATCTTTCTCGGAATTTGAACAACCCTCAAATTTTGACAGAAGCCAATAGTTTGGACGCAATTGGAAGTAGACTAATCCCTCGATAGTTGTTACACGAACGACGTGAACGGTTTTTAAAAATAGGGACAACTATCGACTCATCCCACGATGTTGGAACACTCTCTAGTTTCCAAACTTTTGTAAACAAAACAGCCGGTTCCTTAACGAGAAAGTCACCTCCATCTTTAAAAAGGACGGAGGTAAGTCATCAGGGCCAGGTGATTTGTAGCGCTTCAAGAGTTCGAGTTCCTTGCGGACTTCCGCCTCATTTGGTGGATCAGTCGTCACCGGTCATGGAGAGCAGGATAGTCTGACCGATGTTGCCGGAGCAGCAGGCCAGTTGAACTGCCCTTTCAAGAATTTTGCCCATCGTCCAAGACGTCGATGGATGTTGGTGACTGGCATCCCGTCATCCTCACAGATTGTTTCGCTCACACCAGACTTCTTGTTGCCAGTGTCTCGAATGAGTTGGAAGAGCTTTCAGCAGTTACCAGATGCAGCTGCTGCTTCCAACTCATTGGCATGCTCCAACCACCAGGCTTCTCGGTCGTTACGCAAACTTTGTCCAATTGCATTACGTAACAGCCTTCGCTCGAGGTCAAACTCACGGTCACCCGTGAGTAGATCGACGGCATTCAATGGTTTGTAGGGAGTCAGAAAAAACCCAGTGCTTATAAGCAGGACGTTTCGCGAAGCCCCATGTGACTTTACTCGCCATTTTCATTACATCGTACGATTGCAACCCATGCTCATTTATACTTTTCGGTGGGATGGTAGCTAGCCTAGAACCTAGATCGGTTTGATATTTATTTGCAACAGAAGCTGCAACCAATTCGCTAACATCGATCGGTTTAGGACGATGAATTCGTTGGCCACTGAAAAGTAAGGTAAGATTAGCGCAAACAAAGGCATAATCCGAGTCCAGCTACATACTCCAAAAGCAGCGGCAGTGTTGTACACAACCACACCAGTGGTAGCTGATAGCGATGTGATCAATCCGAGTCCAGGCTTGAGATGCAGACGGAGGACACCAGGTGGCACATCGGTGATGACTGTGCTGGTAGTTATTGTAGGTCCGAGACAGGTTGTAGTCTGCGCAAAGTCGTAGTAAACAGTCACCTTTATCTAACCTCTGACTAACAAGTCTCCATCAGCCACCCAAACGACTCTCTTCTACGTCTAAACGCCCGACCTGAGTATTCAAGTCTCCGGCTAGTACTACAATATTTGTCGAACACACTTTCTGTAGAACAGTCGACTGGTTGTAAAGCTCATCGTTTGTCGCATCCAGGCTTCAGTCTGTCAGAGTTCACTATCCGTAGTTGGTGGTAGCATTCAACTTTCAACTAGTCAATTACTTGGGGTCGTTTAGATAAGACAGGAATTCTGCCATGGGCGAGCTGTTGTATAAGTTTAAAAATGAAATGCGCAAAATGATAATAAAAAAGAAAGGTCAAGTGGAGTAGTATAAGGAAAATAAAAACGAATATTATCAAATGATCGTGACTGTGATTTGTCAGAACGAGAATTGAAGCAAAAATGATTTCTTTAGTAGAAATCATCGTTTGATTTGTCTGAGGGTTGGGATAAAATCCAGAGTCCAGATAGGTACTTTAAAAGGAGCGGCAGTCTTGTACACAACCACGCCAGAGGTAGCTTATTGCAATGTGACCAATCTGAGTCCAGGCTTGGGATGCAGAGAGAGGACGCCAGGTGGCACATCGGCGATGACTGTGCCGAAAGTAAGTCCTAGCCAGAAACAGATTGTGGTCTGTGCACAGTAGCAGTAGACGGTCCCCGTTATCTGACCTGCGACCAACGAGTCTCCATCGGCCACGTAAACGACTCTCTTCTATGCCTAGACGTCCGACCTGAGCATTCACGTCTCTCGCTAGTACTACAATATCTGTCGAACGCACTTTCTGAAGAACAGCTAATTGGTGGTAGAATTCATTCTTGATTTCATCTGGGCTGCAATATGTCGGGGCATAGGCGGAGATGACGAAAAGACATCGTTCCTCACACCGATTTCTTCTCAATTTGATGGAACTTTCTAATCTACCAACACATAACCGACTGTTAATGGGGATCTAATCGATTAGTGCTGCCTCAGCTCTAGCGCTTAGTTCGACACCAATGCCAGCAACACAAGACGAAGGTGCCACAGTGTCTCCGGATAAGCGCACGTAAAACAAGGCAGCCAGTTTGAATGGTGCATGTGGTTTCACAAAAACTGCTTCAGTATTCGTATTTGGTGGTAGCATACAATTTTCAACCAGGCAGTGACTCGAGAACGTTTAGATACAGTCGAATTTCCACCATAGGCGAGCCGCTGTATAAGTTGAAAAATGGGGATACATGAAGTGAGAGTAAAGGTAGATAAATGACGTAGTATATAAAATAATAATGATGAGTGTTACCAGATGAATGTAGAATGTCTGAATTCTAATTAAAGCGAGCTTAGTATTTCGTGAAGTTATTGTCATCTAATTAGACTTGTGTGAGGGCTGTGATACTGCCCGAGTGCCCAAACCGAAGCAGGTCGTTTTCTTAGGGGGCCACACCCCGAGCCTTTGACCTGAAGGTCCGATCCACAAGGCAGTGGAGCAACGTAAAGAGATGCAGTCCAGTGGTAGCCGGTGACTAACGACTGGTTCATACGCCATTTGTTCCCTCAGGGTCCTGGAGCCAGCCCATGTGCACCATTGGTTTGGAATCAGGTTTTTCCAACTCTCATAGGTGTACCCTCCGTGTCCACCAACCCGGTTAAAGCGCCGGACATTCGTTTTTCGTCCTCTCAATTTCGTAAACAACACTACTGCCACGAGAAGGCAGTAAGTAGGACTTTCCTGGCAGAGGCTATATACGCGTGGCCATGTGAGAGCACTTCGAGAGGGAGAGCGGACTCTCTCCACTCTCGGCAGTACCAGGGCATTTGGGGGCTCGGATCAGGGACATATCATTTGGAAGCCCAATGCTTTACCTACTAAGCTATCTTCAAAATAAGCCACTTATTTAGAATTATGAGAGTGAGATGATAGCAAAAGATTATCTCATTTAAATAATTTTTTCTAATATGAACATAGATACAATGAATGCGATAATTTGGTTTAGTTCCTTACAAAAAAAGACAATATTAAAGTCGGCTGAAAAGAAAGTAAATTAAGAAAACGCACAATTACTATTCTTGTTTTAACTGTTCTAATGAGCAATATAAAAACAATTGAATCTGAGTACTTAATAATATTTTTAAAGAGTTCAATCTCAACACATCACCGCTGAATGTAGATCCAAATATGCTATTTGGTTGACAAAAGAAATGATTAAATCTAATATCTGTTTACATGCACAGAAGCAAGCACAAACAAACATACATCTGTCCAACATGTTTACATTTTAAAGCCATAAGTTGGTGGTAAATGGTCACTCGTACTACTTAGAGATAGTAATGAAGGATAAAGCTGTGATGTACTGGCTGACACATCTGAATTTGTCATCACATTAGGTACATATGATGAATGAGGAGTATTGGAAAAGCTTGATGCCCTTATATGACCAGACGATAATTGCTCCGCTAACTTTTCGCATTTAAATCTACGTTCATTACATAGTTTACGAAGAGGAATAAAATCTTTCAAAAATGCATCAACATCCATGGCTTTGTCAAGAAATCGACTAGCCAGTTCCTAGAAATAAAGAAATGAGGGAAATGACAATATACTTCAGATTGTTCTTCTGCTTGTGCGTTGGCAGTTTGTAACAAAGCAAGAATTACACTCGGAGAGTATTTTGTACCGATGTTGTCTTTATTTTAAATGTTCAAGTATTGTGCAAGACTTACCAACTTCTGATTTACGTTTCATATATTCATTTTCTAATTGTCTGTAATTAGAATAGGTTTCTACAAGCTCCGTTTTGATCATATTGAAAGTTGGTTCCATAGATAGATTTGCTTCAGCTTGACGTCGGTTTTCATTCATGCAGGCTTCTTTGTCAGACTCGATCTTTTTAATCTGGTTTTTAAGAAAAAAAGTAAACGTTTAACAGGGAACATTTTAGGACACTTACATCAGGACAATTTTTAGCTAGCTTTTTTATGCCTTCATGATCAGATAATAAGGCTTCAAGTTCCGTTTTGGATAATTTTTCCAAGTAGGATAGAATATCATCCTTGCCATCCACTCCGTTATAACTTGTTGCATTCATTATAGTTCACAATCTAAAAAACAAGGGCATTATGGGATTTCTCCACAGTGATTCTTTTTTAAACGAACACATTAAAGCAGAACTTTACGCTGATACAGAGAAATAGAGTAGTCTTAGAGTCAAACTTTAGTTTGCATGACCCCTGAATGACCTACAGTGTTTAATCGCTTATGTTTCAAACGACATTTAGTTGTGTTGATTTACCAGCTTAGTAATTTATGTATATCTTATTTAACCGAAAAAAAAACTCGTTCTGCTGGGTAGCTGTGTTCGCTTTTAACATCAATATTACTTCGATAATCCAGTCTTAAGGATAGTTATAAGTCAAGCACATTGTGTCACTGTGTATTCACTGATTAGTATTTTGTTCATTATTTTAACAATTTAGAAATTGCATCACCATAACATCCTAAACCCCTCTCAATAACACTCTGAAAATAAATATCCATCTCTTCAAACTTTCACACAGGACTGCAATCAGCTATCACATCTTGGTTAATATCTTTCATACATCTAATGTTGAGCGTTGAATAAAGTGTAACGATATAATTTATTGATCTATCCATTCTGAAGTAACTTATAGGTCAAGTACATTAGATTTCGTCCCTCAAAATAACAAAGAGAACACCACTGAACAAGATGCAATATTTTTCAAACAGAACCAAAAGAATAGTTAATCATTTCCGAATTTTAAGTTTACAAAAACTAACTCAGCAGTGATTGACGTATTCTGGAACTAAATGATTTGGTATAAACATTAAACATATTAACAAGCGCCATGATCTCTGTAATCTGATAGTCACATTACCTAATATGATGACTAAATTAAATAAAGATCTACTGTACATAATTTTGGAAAGTTAAAACAGATCAGTCAGGTCTGAATCTAAATAGCATATATGGCTAAAGAAATGTAATGTAAGCAAAAAGATAAAACAGGAGATTACACAACGTTTGTACGTAAAATAAATACTTTAGTTAATAAAAGACAACTATATTAATAAGAATGTTTTAAAATTGGGGTACAGATTACTCAGAAACAGCTTCGGGTTAGTACTTAACAAGCGTAGCTTAGTGTACAAAATATATACAACTTTTTCAGATCCAGGAATCGAATAATGAAGGATTTATTTGGTTTAGGCTGTCATTGGTTATAACTAACTAATCAAAGGTGAATAGTGCACCCAATCGTCGAATGCTCTTAATTTACAGTCTGAATATTGTCGTCAGTTTTTTTCAAAAGTTCTCTAACTAAAAGTTAAATCCGTTTTAAAGAAATATGTAGTCTATATATATTTGATTATTTTGGTTATTACCCTGAAGAAGTCCAGACAGGTTTGCTGGAAGAAACGCTGGAATTATTTAAATTTCAATCACTGAGATTAATTAAATATAATTGTCACATACAATTAATCAGTAAAAATCCTCAAGAAACGCATAAATTCTAAAAATGAGTAGCTCAGATAACAAATATATCATCTTTTATTGATCGGTGATAGCACATACAACAGGTTTTGGAGAACAAATCAAATATTTTTATCTAGATGAATAGTTGGCTTCATACTGAAAACATCGTGATTCGATGAGCAAATATATGGATCTATTATTGATTTCGCACATCGGTTTTGATATTGATTCTTGTAATAAAGTACAAAACATGTTTGCTGAAATTATATATATATATATATACCAAAATCACATATATTTCAAACTGTTAACAGATACCTCTGCTTTTCCTAATATCTGACAAACTGCCTTTTATGAAGAGATCAGCTTTGCCGACTATACTGTTTCAGTTTAACTATGTTGAGCGAAACCCTTGTTAACTGAAATCTAGGAACAATTTGAGTGATCAAAAATAACTACTAGTGTATTGTAGGTAATTATACTACCAAAATCTATGATTTTTAAGTTACATACAGGTTAGTGATATTCCAGGCAGTATTGTCCTTCAATTGTAAAATAACTGGTTATAATTTAGTAAAAAAAATAATACAGACCATTGTCATAGTGATAGTCAAATTTAGTTGAATAAAAATTTCTAACCACCTGGGAATCATGCAATCGTATGTTGTACTTGACTGTGTTAATATTCTAATATACGTTGTTAGCTAGGATAAGCAACAAAAGCATTTGTGAAGTACACAGGTAAGACAGGAGATAAGCAAGTATGTATTGATGAAGAACCCAGCACAAAAGTGAGTCGATTTAAAAAGCCTGAGCAGAGAAAAAGAAATTCATTACATGTGAGAAAGTATTTAAAACAAGAGAAACGTCTAAAAAAGACAAACAAATCAAGAATAATACGGTATTTGAGATTCAGAAGGCGAAGAGTAGATCCATTTGCATCACTTCCATGCTAATAGCACCCAATAACTAATGGATTCTAACCTATCAAGACCCAGCTCATGGAGTCTGTATTTCGATACACAACTGACAGACTGTCAGGTGCAGCCTGACGGGATGAGTTTACGAGAATCCATCAGTGCAACAGACCTTGAAGAAATCCATTGGTTCTTTGTAATACTGTGGTTTAAATCACTAATAGATGTCACTGCTGTTTCCATAGGTGCTTGTATATCTTTCCAAGCAACATCTGGGTCAGCCTCGTTTTCAGAACTACCTAAGTGTGACCCCTACCTACTTTTGGTTTTCTCGTTACTCATTTCAGTTCTAATAGGTCTTCTGAGTATGCTTTTTCTGGGTCCAGTGAGGCACAAGCAGATGTGTGCCCGTATTAGAGCATGGTCGGATTTCAAGCAGGTACTCCAGAATGAGCGACAATCTTCTATCGACCCTCTCCAACGATGACTGATGGCAATATGGTCTATTTGAGTCCATCGTTGGTTTGGTGTAGGGGGTCGCCATGTTAGACGATGTCTCTCCTTATGCTCAAAATTTGTGTCTGCTAAAAATAAACGATTGTCTGAGCACAGTTGCAGCAGACGATCACCATTATCTGTTCGCTGAGCCGAAATACTAAAATACCCACCTAAATGTCTTTCTGTTTGGTTTAAACTACCTATCTGGGCATTAAAGTCACCTGCTACGAGTACTATGTCTGAATGTTTGGCTTTCTGAAGAAGTTTAGACAGCTTTCTGTAAAATTCATCTTTCACTTCATCCGAGCTGCAGTCAGTGGGAGCATAGGCAGAAACGACAGAAAGGCAGCGACTTGTGTCCCTATCCTTCCAAGTTCTTACGGAGCCATTTAGCCGAACAGCACATAAACGACTGTTAACGGGGGTCCACTCTAGTAGTGCTTGTTCCGCCCTCATGCTTAGTGTTATGCTGTGTAATATACCACTAAAGACAGCGGACTGTTATCTAGTACGTCCTTCACTTGGTAGACAGTCAGGTGTTTCCAGTGCAACAGAGCAAGTGGATTCGAGAACTGCAAACAAGCTTTCTGTGTACATTAGTACTTATCTCGAGGAACCGACTCAGTGTTGATACAAATGACATATACAGAATTACCAACATGCTAAACCACTCCACTCCCCATCTCCAAATTAGTAGAAGATGGTTATTCCAAGAGTGTGACCTTAAATTCTAATAGTTCTAAACACAGACTATCAGTAGATTTCCCACTGATTCACTCATAAAACCTTGAATCCTGCTACAGTTTATGTTTAATAAAACAATGTTATCTATCTGCTTATTCAAAAGGAAATCACCGAGTAGAAGAGGACATATAGACATTTAACTCCAATAGATGCGTTTATACGATCTACTTAAAACGAAGAATCCGTCTGTCATCGGAACGCAATATGAACATGTTAGAAATCCAGTTAGGTAAACCCTTTTCACATACTTGTAATTAGTAGCTGATTGCTGTGTGAACTATGGAGGGAATTCTGGATAGTTCATCGATTATGGTTGTGTTGAGAAAAGGTATTGAACAAAAGCGTACTGTGAAATGAATAAAACTGCAGACAGCAGCACTTGTCACTTGATTAGCTACTAAAGAACCCCCACTGGTAGCTTAAATGATTTTTCCTTGTTTCGAAACAAGCTATCCACAGCTAGCACCACAAAACCTGACAGACAAAATCTATAAAGACCAATTAGATGGTGTAATTTAAACTAACAGTCCTAAATAAATGAAGCCTAGGAAGAATACTGACAATGTCATGAGCAAACATAGTTTACGACTGATTTAAGAATTAATTTAATTCCGTCCAAATTTTAATCACGAGCTTTTTCTACAGTAATCACGACCGAATCAATTTAAAAGGATATAAACATTCAAAGAGTCCAGGTTCTATCAAAAGAAGACGTTTCAATTTAGTGAGTTGAATTATATTGAATACCTAGACTAGGGGATTAACAATTGTTAGCCCTATACGTCTATACCACGTACCACTAAGATATTTCATAAACTAACCACACCTCTATTTCATCTGTCAGATTTCAGAGCAAAAGATTAGTTTTTGTGTGGAAACTCCAGAAACGACATTCGTAAAATATATCTAGGCCACGAGAGACGTGTTTTAATATGGTGAAACTGAATTATCAGCGTCCCACAACATTACTAGATCTCAACATTTTTTACATCATGCTGCCAACGGATATGATCGATGTTTCGGAGACAATTGTCTGATTGTGATAAAGATTAGCGTACTGTAACATACATAACATTATTATCCGATTAGATCAATATACGACGACTACGCACTTCATTAGTCCTCAGTTTCCGAATGCCCTGGTACGGCCGAGAGTGGGGAGAGTCCGCTCTCCCTCTCAAAATGCTCTCACACGGCCACGCGTTTACAGCCTCTGCCAGGGAAGTCCTACTCACTGCCTTCTCGTGGCGAGGGTGTTGTTTACGAAAATGAGAGGACGAAAAGCGAATGTCCGGCGCTTTAACCGGATTCCAAACCAATGGTGCACATGGGCTCCAGTATCCTGCGGGAACAAATGGAGTATGAACCAATCGTTGGTCACCGGCTTCCATGGGACTGCATCTCCTTACGATGCTCCACTGCCTTGTCGATCAAACCTTCATGTCGAAGGCTCGGGGTGTGGCTCCCTAAGAAAACCACCTGCTCCGGTTTGGGCACCCGGACAGTATCACAGCCTTCACACATATCGATTGAGATTTGTGTGGCGTATATGTATTTGGTGCCTCTTTGTACCATTATCTATGTGTTGAAATAAAATAAAATAAATTCCTACACTTTAACAGCTTCCGGGTCTGTTTATTAATCCATGGAGGTCAACGTGATAGCTTACGTGCTGACCATGGGATAAACGGCGACGTTACGGACTCGAATGTAGCCTTAAACTTATTCCATTCGTCTTCAATCGGTCCGTCCGCTTCGATCGACCAATCAGTCGAGATAGCACAGACTCTGATTGCCAGAATATTAGCTCACCAGACAACGGGACGGGGTGGGGCAGATACAAATTGTATACCATGTGTCCTAAACTTAAAGTAAAGTACAACGTGATCACTGTTCACTAGTGAGGGAAGGTGCTGAATATCAAAGACATCCTCACAGTGGTGGGTGAGGGCAAGTTTCAGCAGTGACGGGTCATGTTTCAAGTCAGTATGTGTCAGTTTTGCCATACATTGTACAAGTGCACACTGAACAACGGTTGATAAAAGGTCGCTATCGAAACCACCACCTGAAGCTGTAAGCTCTATCCAGTTGATATGCGGTGCGTTGAAGTCCCCAATGATGAAACAGCATTCTGCCATACTCCAATAACAGATGTGTCTTAAGATAAAGTCGTCAGCAAGACAACATGGACTACGGTATATTCCCCCTAAAGTCACTAACCCATTTATAGATTTAATTTTACAACATGCTACCTCACATGTACAACTAGCATAAGCCTCAGATGTGATTGATTGTATACGAAAGTGATCCCTAACGTATAACATTATGCTTCCCTCCTTGCGACTTAAAACTCTATCACTTCTAATACAGATATAGCCTGCAATGACAGAATATTCTATATCTGCTGTGAACCAAGTTTCTGTAACAACAATTATATCGGGACTTAATTCGTCCACCATCAGACTTAGCTCGGACGTTTTATTTCTAAGACCACGGGCGTTCGTGTAGCACACACTTAGGGTGTTTTGGCAATTATTCGTTCCACCTATACAGACCATGGAAGCATTGGCTTCCAAGACCTGACCACCCGAAAACCCTTAATGGTTAGTTAATTTCGCCATTTAACTTGCGAGTTCTCAACTCTGTAAGTGCATTCTTCCACTCAAGCGGCCAGTCTGGTGGGATACGAATATTTGTGTTACCGCTGTTCCTTAGGTAGTCGACACTATTGTTTGTGGATGACTTAAAAATCTAGAGAACAATAAAAAGTGAGGCTGATCATTTGGATCTTCAAGCTGACTTAAATGAATTAGTTAGATGGGCCCGAGGTTGGTACTTGGAAATCAATTCTAAGAAGAGTGTGCTAATGCACATCGGTCACGGTAATAATTACCATTATACTATTGATGGCAAACCTTATCCATGCGTGCAAGAACATAAAGACTTGGGAGTGATAATAAGTCATGACCTGAAAAACAACTACGCATTGCAACGCAGCTACTTTAGTATTTACAAAAAAACAATGAAAACAGTGCACTAAAATCCATTTATAAAAGTATATCAACCAGTTTTAATAATTTGGAAATATACAACACTATCATATTTTTCTAAGGGACGAATATTGTGCTATTGGACCTTACCTTTCTTACAGATTGGGAATAACCATCTGACTTACGCAACGCAAACAGATGAAATTCCCGCCGATACAATTATCATTTTGTTCAAAATCGTTCAAGTGGTTCAAATGGTTGTGGACGGAATAGAAGAAGCTTTCGCTTAAGGGGCTCCCATGTCTAGTAGCAGGGGATCACGAATAACTCCAGGCAGGAACCCAGGTATGTTAACGATAAAAGAAGAAAAAGAAATCGGTAAATCATAGTATGATACTATCCTTAGACCATAAGAATAGATCAGATTGCCTCTTAAAGGACTCCTGGGAAGTCTCTTGGACTAGCTCGGCCAGTAGCGAATTCCAGCACTTGACAACTCTTAAGGAGTAGAAGTTG